AGTCTCTTAAAAAAAAAAAAAGAAAAAAAAAAAAAAAAGAGGCTCCATTCCATTTCTGGATGTCTGCACTGGGGTTCGCGGTGGGTTCTTTTTTTTTTTCTTAATGCAGCAACCCGGGCGGGTGCTAGGGGTGCACCACAAGCACTCCCAGGGAGGCTCCATCTATTGGGGGGGGGGGGGCAGCACCTGCTGGAAACCGGGTCTGGCATCCCCGAACAACGAGTTAGTCGTTCGAACAGACATGTAATCGTGGTCACTGCAACCTACAGGGCGTATCTGCACAGAAGGAAATTTGACAGGAAGAAGTACCCAGCCGCCTGAGTTGCTTGTCTACTTGAAAACCTAAGTTTAAGTGGTAGTATACACAATCCCCGTGGCTGCTACTACTCGCGGCGGGCCCTGCTTGTTGCTGAAGTTTTTTTTTTTTTTTTTTAAACGCCAGACCGCTAACTTTTTATGTTGCCGTTCTCCTCTTCCCATTTTGTTGCTTCTGCAGCCCCTTCTTTTTTCTCTTTCTTCTTCTTCTTCTTCTTCTTCTTCTTCTTCTTCTTCTTCTTCTTTGTGCAGCCCCTTCTTTCACTCTTCCTTTTTGTCTTTCTTCTGCAGCTCAAGATGGAGGGCACATCGAGCTTGGAGGTCATGCCGAAGCAGCTCATCCCTTGTAACGGAACTCGTATCGAGCGAGCGATGTTCCCCTCCACTTTTGTTTTTGGGATGGCGACTGCGGCATACCAGGTTGAGGGAGCCTTTGACGAGGACGGAAGGGGCCTAAGTATTTGGGACGTTTTCGCACGCATTCCTGGTAAAGTTAAAAATGGAGCCAATGGCAGCGTGGCCTGCGACCAATATCATCGTTATGAGGAAGACGTGGCCCTTTTGGCGGACATGGGAATCGATGCCTATCGTTTCTCAATATCTTGGTCTCGTATCTTTCCTTTAGGATCAGGTACAGTGCCCAATCCAGGAGGTATCGCGTACTACAACCGCCTCATTGACGCGCTGCTCGAGGTCGGCATCGAGCCCTGGGTCACTCTCTATCACTGGGACTTGCCACAGGAGTTGCACGAATCTTACGGTGGCTGGCTTAGTGAGAAATCTGTTCACGACTACCAGATGTATGCGGAAACCTGTTTCGCCGCCTTTGGTGACCGAGTTAAACATTGGCTGACATTTAACGAACCTTTGTCGTTCGTGGTCTTGGGCTATGGATGCGGCATCCATGCCCCAGGTCTTCCCAACACTGCTCGTCCTCCTTCTGCTCCTCCCTCCTCCTCTCCTGAAGTGGATGCTGGGATCCCCGATCCTTACATCGTTGGCCACAATGTCCTTCGAGCACATGCCGCTGCTGTTGATGTATATCGCCGACTGTATCAGTCTCATCAGGGAGGAAAAATTGGCATAGTCTTGGACTCTGTATGGGCTATGCCGTTGTCGGACACCGCCGCTGACAAAGAAGCAACCGAAAGGCATCGCCTCTTCACATTAGGCTGGTTCCTTGAACCCGTTATTAGGGGTTGTTATCCTGATGTCATGCAGAAGCGCATGGGCCACAAGTTGCCTTCGTTCACTGCTGAGGAAAGTGCATTGCTACGAGGATCTATTGACTTTCTAGGGCTCAATTTCTACACCTCGCTGTATATCGCAGATTGTCCTGCGTGCATGTTGACTCCTCCTGTCTTTTACGTGGAAGCTGCAGCAGGTGTGTCAACGTCGCGTGTCAGGGATGGGCAATGCGTAGGGGAACGGGCGGCCTCTTCATGGCTGTACATCACCCCCGACGGAATTGCGGAGCTCGCGCTGTGGATCACGAAGACGTACGACGCTCCTGTCATTTATGTCACCGAGAATGGCATGGACGAGGAAGACAATCCTGATCTTCCATTGCAGGAGAGCCTGCATGACCCCAAGAGGGTGCAGTTTTATAATGACTACCTTTTAAGTCTGTCCAGTGCAATTAGTAAGGGAGCTCGTGTGAAAGGGTACTTTGCCTGGTCCTTCATGGATAATTTTGAGTGGGCGGAGGGGTACACGAAGAGATTTGGGGTGCACTACGTTGACTTCAGGAACGGTCAGACACGCTACTGCAAGATGTCCGCTCACTGGTGGTCTGACTTCCTCAAGGGGAATCAGCTGGAAGAACTCTATGCCAAGGAAAAGGGCAGGGTCCTAAAGGAAGACACTGAAAGAGCATAATGTGTGGCATGGCTTAGACCTTAGACTCTAGGGTAGGGTAGGGATATAAGTCGCTCCAGCTAGTCTGAGTTCCGCCTACAGTCTTCCCCCAAACAAAACGCACGTATGCACTATTCAACTTTCCCTGGAAAAGTAGATTTCTCGAAGTCACCCCCCGAAATTCAAATAGTACACACATACGTTCTATTTGAATAGTACGCACATATGTTCTATTGAACTGATGGGTGTTCTATTCAAATAGAACATACGGGTGTTCTCTCTCTCTCTCTCTCTCTCTCTCTCTCTCTCTCTCTCTCTCTCTCTCTCTCTCTCTGTCTCTGTGTGTGTGCTGTCTCTTATACACATCTAGATGTGTATAAGAGACAGGTGTGTGTGTGTGCAAGTGTGTGCAAGTGTGTGTGTGTGTGTGCTCATTTTCTCGCAGATGCATGGCATGACATATCGGTACATCCTGTGTACTCTAGAGGTATTGCATGGTATTGATTCTGAAAGTGCGGGCGTAGCCGCACCGGCCATACTTGTTTATATTTATATTTAAGATAACAGAGATTCATCGACTGTGACAACCGCGGACGAGATGGATCGATCCGTGGATTGATGAATGTGATGGATCTATTGGTCTCCTCCAATCACGCCCCTGTCACACAGGACTGGAGATCACGACCACATATATCCTGCTGCTCCGCACACTTCCTCAGAATGCCATGACGCCCACATAATCCAGACATCCACGTAACCCATGGACAAGCCACATAGCACTGGACACCACCAGGAGACTAACTCACCTCCATTTCGCTCATATAGCACTGAAGCACCGGCATAGCACACACAACTCTCGTAGGACTGCATTGCACAGATGCACCTCAGAATAGCACACGCAGTCCACATGGTCCACATAGTCACATGCACCGCAGAATAGTCCACATGGTCCACATAGTCACAGATGCACCTCAGAATAGTCCACATGGTCCATATAGTCACACTCTAAACCACATAGCACCGCACACAGCTCCGCACACGACTCACAAAGCGCCCTGCTCTACCCACACGATACACCACCCGCTCCAAGGCACCCACCTAACTCTCATATAGCACTGAAACACCGACATAAACACCCACACACACACAACTCACGCAGGACTTCATTGCACAGATGTACCGCAGAATAGCACACACAGTTCACATGGTCCCCATAGTCACACGTAAACCTCATAGCACCGCAGACGATTCACAAAGCGCCCTGCTTTACCGACACCATACACCACCCGCTCCAAGGCACCTTCCCAACTGAGAGTCTCAGAGTATGACACGGCAACGGCACCACCAACTTCAGATACTACTCTACATGACAGACGACACCCATCTTGGGCTGTGTGTTGTCTGTGACATCTTGTCACACACAGCCCACATAGTGGCCCTCAGTTCACACAGCGTCACACACAATTCACTTCACGTGACACTTGGCACTGCCCAAGATGGCACATGACCATCATAGAACTCAAACACCCCTGCGCAGCCAACAGAGCAGCACTCAGCTCACATCTTGTCACAGACAACCCACATACCACCGAACACTGCCCAAATAGCACATCAGTGCCTCACGACGCACTCGGGGTCACATGGCCTTGTACACGGCACGCACGTAGCACTACAGGCTTCCCCCGAATACAACGTACGGTCATTATAAACACAGCTTCTTCCCCTTAAAAAATAATAATAATAATAATAATAAATAAATAAATAAATGCAGCTACAATGACCGTACGTTGTATGCAGTGGAAGAAGGTAGACACTGCCCAACTAGCACATGGGCACTGCACACATAGCCTACCACTCTGCCACGGCTGCAATTAAGCACGTGTAGCACTCCGATACTGACCCAGTTAATTACCGCTTTGGGATGGAGCCCTTGCGCTCGTGTGGTGGCGGCTAGAAGAGAATAGGCCCCTTGGGGCAGGGGCCCGGTCAGTAGGAACAGTGTTTTTTTTTTTTTTTTTTTTTTTTTTTTTTAACCCCTAGGAGCAAATCACAAACAGTGCAGTTATAAAATGAACTGTCAATCCCCTCTGCTCCAGAGAGCAATCAATACAGTCAGTAATGGAAGTAAAGTGCAAATGTG